CACCTAGCCTCTTCAGTCCCACGTTCTCCTGGCCTCTGCCATACTAATGGATGCCTACCGTGACGAATGCACTGGGATCGGTATCGCCTACAGGACGGACGGCCACCTACTCAATCAGCGGCTGATGTACTTTCAATCGCGTATTTCTCTTCGCCGACGACTGCGCTCTCAACGCCACCTCGGTAGGTGTCATGCAGATCAGCATGGATCGGGAGAAATTTATTAGAGGTCTGACAATTCGTCTACCCATCCTCAAAGACTGGGAAGCGATTTGCACAGCTCTCCTTATAGGGGGCATTTTGTTTGTTGCCTGGTCTGCCAATGCCGCCTGTGTGACTGCATTCGTCCCGCATGTCACCGTGACCTAAATCGTCCCCGCCCTCGTCGGCCGCGATGATGGTTTCCGCGCGAGGCTTCCCACTAGTCTCACGATAGCTCGAAGCCAATCAACATTGCCCATTCTCTGATTGTCTGTTGAACGCTAACCGGGACAGAGCCCCAGTAAACAAACCCCCGCCACCGCTACTGCATGCCTATGATAATTAACCGCCCACCCGCTTAATCGACGATTGTTGCCCGCTGGTGCGCTAATTGCCTATTACCCGGCATGCAAGCTGTTAATTGCTGAAATATTATTAGTCGTGTTGGATGCTGGCGTAATGATTGCTCCGCCAGCTGGCTCACCGGCCTGCGGGCAGGGCGCTCAAGCATGCACAAGGATTGCATCGCTCGCCATGATCTGATGCCGTCTCTGATATGAACCTGAAATGTCAGTCGGACAATGTTCGCATTTCCTCGGTTGCGTCTCCTCCGCCTTCCTGAAATAAAATATTTAAACACATGATTGGACCTTGGCCTTCAAATATTATTTCTCATGGAGAGGTGGTAGGAAGTAGAGAGCATGTATGTACAGGGACAGACACAACCGGTCTTTGCTCTGCACTGATCCAGCCAACTGCCCAGACTGACGACCAGTAGAACGGGCTGACGCAGGCACAAAAGCTCGCCTCAACCGCTGACTGTCATACCACACAACATCCCCGCCGCCACCGCCACGGTCACCGTCTCAGAACATGTTAGTTATCACTTACTAGCTGGTCCCCGCCACGGGTTGCTGTGGCTCAGTCTGATTAAATCTAAAAGAAAGAAAAGACGAAGGGAACGCGTTTATAATATGTTTAATTTCACAATGCTTGTGGGTATACAATATTTTTTTGCCTCTGCTTTGTCTGTGCAGACACAAAGATTGTCTGGTTTGCGTACTCGGGAGCACGCAACGTATAATTGGCCATGTGAGAAATAATCAGTTGGCAGATCCAAACCGCACAATTCTAAAGATTAGCCCTGAGCTTTGTTTGATGGTGATTACAAACGCCAATCGAATCGGTAATTGCAGTCTCCCCTACTGAAATAGCGTATAGGTTGGAATTAGTGGAATGCGAGGAATAAGGAAATGTTCACATTTGGAAGGCCCTCTCAACATATTCGCTTCTGCGACGTTGCTGCATTAATCTTTTTACTGTAAGCCGCGTGCCGTTTCAAACCTTCGGCTAGTTGACATTACGTAAGATGACAATCGGTACGCCGATTTTCAATTGCAGTACGTGCGGCGACATTCCTGGCAGATCCAGCGAATTCAAAATTTCCGTTGGATAACTAACTGCCTCCTCTGCTTCCACAACAGTGTCGACGGACGTGCATGTGATTGCCTCGCTTTAAATCCTAGACTGAATAACGTGGTTAAAATGGTACGCATCTTTGTTCTCGGCTGCAAGAATAGCTCGTTCGCTCAGCCAATCGTGATTCGTATAATTGGTTTGAATATTGGGAAATACCTTGTCAACTAACTCTTCTTTCGACAACACTAAACTGCCGAAGATAAGAGGTAGTGAAATGCGTCCCGAAGTCGGATCAACCGGCACCGCTCCGTTCCCAATTGTCAGCAATTTGTGTGAGGATATTTCAGCTGATCGGTCGGTTTGCAGCTGGACACGCATATTTGTAGTTAACGTCTGGACGTGGCGCCACAAAGTACGAGGTTTTCAGGCAGGCCTTTATTTCGTCCGCTGGTGTCGGTCCATGAATTACAGGCAGTGTTTGCCTGAAGTCTCCTGCAAACAGTAGCAGCACATCCCCAAGTGGTTTGCTGTTTCCGCGCAAATCTTGCAGTGTTCGACCATGGGCCTCGAGCCATAGTGCATTTAACTCAAACACTAAGTTTACATTTCTGCGGTACTTTTCCGTGCTGAATGCCTCGGAAATGTTGTAGGTGGGAGTTTCAATTAATTGCACCTTCAACGGCAATTTCAAAGCGGAATGGGCAATCCTTCCGCCGGGTAGCAGGGTTGTAGCTATTCCGGTGAAGACAAGTGCTAAGGCTATGTCATTTTTGGATCATATTGCTGTCAAAATCAGTCTTAGTAGGAACATTTTCCCAGTCCCCCCCTGGCGCATCTCCGAAGAAGATTCCTTCAACCTCGTTATAGACAGTTGGCATTATTTGCTCGTAAATGCCATTCTGCTCCAGTGTTGGCTTAGGAGAGTTTGGTTGCAGATGCGACAGAAGACCCACCGTGTTGCAGTTTTGCCCACGCCGCAAATCCATGTCTAACGAAGCAGCAGCAGCAGATCGGTTTGGTGATGGCTTTCCCAGTTGATTGAGAACTCTGTTCACGATTTCTACGTACATATTCTCAATTATTATGAACGCCTCGTTGTAGATTTCTGCCGTGAAATCCACATTTGAATTTTCCATGCGTAGTCGGCGGAAGGTATCTTCAGTTACCTTCAGGCCTACACAGCTATATTTCTATCCAAATGAGTAATAATAAAAAGTGGTCGATTAGGCGTTATTCTGTAGCTGGGGTTGGGTGAAACGAAAAACAATATTGCCCTCAGTGTCAGGTGGGGGAGGGGGAGGGTGGACACTGGGACGGGTGATTAAATGCGGGTGGCTGGCTTGGTGAATTAGGCCTATGGTCTTGCCTGTATGAAGTTCTCTGCGCGCATAGAACTTGTTTGCGCAACCTGATTGTAACCGTCTCCACTGTTGCCAACAGACGCTGTTCAAGTTATTTTAGATAGCTTGACGGGACATTGTAAATCACCCAGAAGACCTGCCCGGCATCTACACAGTGTTCCGCGTCTGTCATGTGCGCGAGGATAGAGCTGTTAACGTTCTTTATTTGGCCTTTTCCTAACCGTGCTGGAAGGTGCTCTCTTATTCTCTTTGAAAAACGCCACTGTAACCACTTGAGCTACGAGGTCCCGCCGGAAGACACGTGGGTACGAATCCCACCGAGGTGCCGAGTTTTTCACAGTTGGGTCAATATGGATTATTCAAAATCTGCCAAAATATCTATGAATTATGTGAGCCTGATAGTCATCTGGTGGATTCTAGGTGAATTACTTAGGAAATCCTGCTTGGGCAGTCAACTTACTGTATCAGATTTGGTGGATTCCAGACGTTGCAGTGATTAAACTCGCGTCGTCCGGCGGGGCCTCGTAGCTCAAGTGGTTAGAGCGTTGGCTGTACTAAAGCCTTCCCCTTATTGCGTGGGTTCGAATCCCACCGAGGCGCCGAGTTTTCACAGTTGGGTCTATATCAATAACACTAAAATTAATGATGATAATAATAATAATTGCTAGGAGATGGAGCATGCATTTTTTATAGTGCCCTTTGCCAGTTAACCGCACAATGGAATGGTTGTACGCAGAAGTACGAACATGGAAATGAAGGAGGTGTTGATTGCTGTGGAAACAGAAGACTGAGACAGAGAATTGGTTGAGCAGCCCTTACTGTGACAGGGGACTGCAGACGCGACTGAGAAGACAGTGGCGACAATTGTTTCAGCAAGGCGAGACCCAACCTTTGGAGGTGCGTCGAGGGCGGTGCGTGCGTGCGTGCGTGCCTGCGCACATGACCTTTGTCCGCCTACAATCCAGATCAGCGAATGACACAACGCCGATTGGCGTCAAGCCGTCTCCACGACGTGGCCATGTCACGTGCGTTGCAATCAGCATCCAATTGGCAGGAGGTGTTAGTTAGGCTGCCAGAGGGGGCGTCATGAGAGAATAACCAGACTGACGACCAGTAGAACGGGCTGCCACAGGCACAAAAGCTCGCCTCAACCGCTGACTGTCGTACCACACAACTTCCCGCGGCCACCGTCACCGTCTCAGGACATGTTAGTTATCAGTTAAACGGTCTTCTTACTCAATGCAGGTATGGGTCGGACGAATGGCATTAAATAGAAGCAACTGGTTGAGCGCAAGCCAGATGCCAGGGACTGCCTCAAATCCCACCTTTCGCCTCGACCAATCGTAGCCCTAGGCGGCAGCCCAGTCAGCCGGGATGACTCGCAAACCACATCTTCTTTCAGGTGCATCTGGGACGTCAGTAAAATCGGCATCTCAACTCCTCACTAATTCCTGCGAGCAAAAGTGGAGCTTCACGGGGCGATACTGTTCGTCGACGTGACACTGTTCTTTGCACCCATCTCACCGGATTTGGTGTACAAGGCTATGCGTTGCGTCTTGCATTGAAGTATGGTAAATCACGGGCATGTCTTTACTGATATTGTCATCAATATATTTTCTGCCCCACAGAAGCAGGTGAGGGAGTTAATACATACAGAGGTTGTCTGGCCTGACAGTTTGTCCTTGTCCTCTCCGTATATGATGGAACTAGTAGAGAAGAGTACAGCGGCGTCAACTGCCGTGAAGGTGTGTGATATAGATTGAGTTAGGCGCCTTGTTAAAAGTTCACTTGGCGCGTCCCCTTGAAACGGCACCCTGAGGAAAAGCTTATTTTTGTCTGCCGTCAGCCTCGAGGGCTTTGGTAGTCTTTCGGTCATGTACTTAGCAATGAATCCACCGAGGTACCCGTTCCGGCGAAGGCGATTTTCAACAATATTTAGTTCCACCTCAATGCTATCAGCTGATCAGATCCTCCTTACCCTTTGTGTCAAGCAGCGGACTAAATTGCGCTTCATGTTTAACGGTACGAAGCTCCTAAAATTGGTGTATTGTCCGGACCACGTCTTCTTACGATAGACACTACGTTTAATACTACCAGCGGGCCTTCTGCTCAAAAGCACATACAGAAAGGGGAGCGATCTGGACTGTTTTCCTTCAAGCGTGAATCTGATTGATGGGTGCGCCTGATTGATGTCGTCCGGCGGGACACAAACGTCGTTTTGTTTAGGTGCAATTGCGAATATATCATCCACATAGCGTTCATAATATCTCAGACCATCGATCTGGCGACGAAGTTCGAAAGCTTCTAGCTTGCCCATAAACATATTCGCCAAAAGCGGACCAAGGGTTATGCCTCTAGCTACCCCGTCGATTTGTCTATACAGATTGTTGTCAAATAGAAGCCGTACTTTGAAGGTACATCTCAGTAGCAATTCTTTGAGAGCATTCACCGGCATTCCTATATCATGATTATTGGAGGCAAGGGCTTCACAGAGGTAGTTGACGATTTCTGTGACCGGTACGTTCGTACAAAGAGACGAGACGTCCAGCGAAATCATAACATTTCAGTTAAGGTTGAGATTTTTCATGCCGTTAAGGAATTCATAGGTATACCGAAAGCTATGTGATGCTAGCCGGTATTGTATGGGCTTTAGTTTCTCCGCTAGCCAAATCGCTATAGCATGGCGCGTCGAGTTTCTCATGTCTAGAATCGGTGTACCATGTATGTGGATCTCTGGCGAGCCATATAACTGAGCTATATGCGTGCCGACAGGCGGGAGACGCTCTAGGTCGTATTCGCTAATGAAACCATTCGTTTGAAGTCTTTTCAAACAGTCGGTCGGCAGAGTTTCAACCTCATCTGTTCGATCATTTTGGTTTTCTGCCTTTCGGAAATGTTCCTGGTCCGACAGGATTGACTGTATTTTGCAATGTAGTCGGCTCTGTCCATCAAAACAACATCAGTTTTCTTATCTTTGCCCTGTCGAAGTTGCTTTAACTCCTCAATATGTGACTGCGTCAGCATGCCTCGATATTTCGGGACAGGAATCGCTCACGCCTGTGTGATGCATGTTCATTCACACAACCCGATGCTTTACCAGATCGCGTCAGCGAACGCATAGACGGACTGTTTGCAGCTTTGTCCACCATTGCACCCGATCCCACCTCCGGTCATCTGGACATTGTCTTTCCATCGGAGCCAGGTGGGTGTGGGAGGGAGGGAGTGGGGTAGATGTTGCGCAGGTCTGCCTCACAATAAACTGATTCACGCGAACCCCGCCAGTGCTGCCTTCAGTCTGTGTGGCACACGGTGGAGTTCGCCAATGGCTGCGATTTTCCTAACTAGTCCGCAGGTCGCCCGAGACTCTGAAACTACAGCTCGGCCTATATGAGCCAAAAAGTGTCTCCGAGGATGATCCACAAACAGAACTATTGTCAATGACTGAAGGGACTGGCGGTGGATTGCTGTCCGTTGTGAATATTGACGTGGCTGCAGTTGTTTGACTTTGGCATAAACTGCATTCTTCCGTACAGGTTTCGTGTACACAGTCAATTGCGAGCATGAGCTAACAGTTAGTTATCGCGCAGTCTCGTAGGGGCACATTCAAATAACCGAACCAGCCGATGAGGCTGACGGAGTAGCGACAGGCAGGGGGAGTGGACGTAGACTGATGGCTAAGATGATGGGACGTCTCTGTTTTACGTGCGACACACATAGGAAGGTGTGTGAAGAATGCTTGATAGTGTGCACTGGTGGACGGAGAGGACAAATGGGAGAAGATTAAAGTACGCAGAGTGACTTGCAAACACGCCGGAAAATCCTGCTGGGATTCAGAACGGGCTTGCCGCATATTAGGGGCTTATTTGAAGGTTCATCTTATCAAAATTCCAAAGGAGTCCAGGTCAACATGAAGAACCAGCGTATATGACCGGCAACAGACACGCTGAGATATCACATTTGGCCTTGATTTTAGGCAACAAGCCATCATGATGCGGCGTAGTCGTGCTGAAAAATACTTGGCATTCGGGATATATGCTTTGTCTAGTCTCCTCCAGACCAATGTGAGACATGGCAAGACGATGATTGTTATAATAGGAGCATATTGAGAATCCAGCGATGTGCGTAGATGTGATGCACATCTTATTCCGGAGTTGTCTAGGTCAGTGCAGAGCAAAGGCAGGTTGTGGCTGTCCCTCTACGTACACGCTCGCTGCTTCCTCCCACCTCACTTTGAGAAGATATATTTAAAAGCCGAGGTCCAATCATGTGTTTAAATATTTTATTTCAGGAAGGCGGAGGAGACGCAACCGTGGAAATACGAATTGACCTTTCAGGTTCACATCAGAGACAGCATCAGATCATGGCGAATGATGCAATCCTTGTGCATGCTTTCACTCCCTGCCCGCAGGCCGGTGAGCCAGATGGCCGAGCAATCATCCCGCCAGCATGAAACACGAGTGATGAGATTTCAGCAATTGACAACTTGCATGCAGTCCATGAAGCAATTAGCGCACCAGCGGGCAACAATCCTCGATGAGGGGGGGGAGGGCGATTAATTATCATTGGCATGCAGTGGCATAGCGACTGCACCCTATAAATACTGAAACCTCCCGTGCACGAATCACCCGTTTCTGCTACTGCCTCTGATGATGGCTTCGAGGGAGAATCCGAAGCGTCGGGCGAATAAGTCTCTTATTCCAGCGATCGCTTCTACTTCTTATCAAATGACACAACGCCGATTGGCGTCAAGTCGTCTCCACAACGTAGCCATGTCACGTGCGTTGCAAATGGCAGGAGGTGTCAGGCTGACAGAAGGCGTCGTGAGAGAATAACACACTGTCGACCAGGAGAACGGACTGCCACAGGCAAACAAGCTCGCCTTAAGCGCTGACTGTACTACCACACAACATCCCAGCCACCGCCACCGTCGCAGGGCAGGTTAGTTATCTTTTTTTTCTACTCTTCATTCACATGGGAATTTTCTTATATTTACATCTGTCGGCCTATTTCGCGAATTATATACATTCATTTTCCCCTCTTTGTTTATCTGAAGTACAATAATGAGGTCATCGTTGCTCTTTAAATTTCCTTAGAAATTAACTGCAAACCTGGAGTACATCTGCATCCTTAAGGTCTATCGGCTCAGCCCAAAGTCTGTATGTATGAATATTTCGGCCGAAGTCCATCAGCCATGTCGGTATACTACGCTGGCATACTTCTTATCTGCTGGTCACCTCAGTGATTGACCGATATCATGAAATATTGGCGTAAATACTTCGAATGGGAAGAATTACTTGGGTGGGATTGTAACATTGATTATCATTCAGCATAACGCTATTTAATTTCGTACTCGACGGAATGTCGCCATTTTAAAGCACTTGCTTACAATCTGCTGAAGAAACCACGCTGGTTGAAAAATGACTACATGGTTAATATGAATTTTTTACATCAATTTTCGCTGACAAAATAAATTTAAATACATTATATAGAAAAGGCGCAAAAATATGCTTTCTTTTAGTAGTTTGGTAGAAGGTCACATCCTCTTTACATTTTATACCCCAAGCAATTTTATCCTTCGGTTTTAACAAAGTTTTGCATTACGAGATTTCTAAGACCGTACGATGTCCATACATACAGCATGGCACATATCAGTTTCACAGTGCCCCTCATGAAATGTACAACATAGTCCACATCGATTGCAGAATTTCATGAAATCCATATAGTATCTTCTTAAAGGCATAGAGGAGTATGTGATTTTCCTTACACGGAAAGCGTACACCTTGTAGACTGCAAACGACTAGCGCTAATGCAGTGGCAGATCAGGCTCGAAATGATTCGGGAATTGGGAAACATTTTCAAAACTGAAATACACACTTTCGGGTAAAAAATGTGAGCACAATGTGGTTACCGATGAAACGTGTAAATGGTACATATTTTGTGCACTTATTCTACAAAAGATATTTGAATTTATCGGCACAGACGAAATTTAATGTGAAAAATGCATGCAGAATAAGTGATCATTTTTGCAGATTGTGGTTTCTGCATGAGGTCGAAAAGGAGTGCATTGAAAAGGCGACATCCTGACGAGTCCGAAATACTATAGCGTTATGCCGTATGATAATCGATGTTACAACCCCACCTAAGTAATACTTCCTAACCCAAAATTCCATTCAGATTTTGGATCAAAATTTCATGTGACCGGTCACGAGCTGTATCTGCTTTGCATGCCCCATTTTTATCCACTGTGAATAGAGGCCTATTTGCTGAAAATTTTGGAATGACACTTGCGAAATGAGATCTATCGCGCTGGCTCTCTCCCTCTCCCTCTCTCTAACACAGGCGAAAGAACGAATGATGTTATATAAATGCGACTGACAAGCAGAGAAAGCCTCGATTATGCCGGCTAGATCAGGCATGATCGCAGCCGTACCATGGATAAGAAGAAGAGGAAGACATGAGGGTCAGCCCTACACACTTCCTGTCAAGCTGGGTCACACGAAATCTATAGATCTCAGACCTCAATTAAATCACCATGAAAATATCAGACTGAGCCCCGAAGACGAGACTGAACCTTTACGAGATCGTGCTATATTTGGACACAAGATTGCATTTTTCATCAACCGCGACCGACCTGGTACGCGAACCTACGAGAAGAGACCTGCATTGGAGTAGGACAAAATACAGAGCCCTCTTAATATTGAGCAATTCTTCATTGATATTGCATCCACAGTTAAATAGTGTTACAAGTCGATTCGCCCTGTCTTTCTGGACTAATTGCACATGTATCTGCATTTATGCTGTACCAGATAATATAGGGCATTTTGCAATTTTAAAAATCCAACTGCATCTTCTCCTATCGGAATCATTGTAGAGCGTGCATGTTCAATCTCCATGGACTTGGTGGATGCTGAGGACTGCTCGTCTCCTCCCTCCTTCCGAATCGGCCTCAGCAGGGCTCGCCGCAAAAATCAAATGTTTGGTACCTACGAGGAGGCAGTTTCCGTCAGCATCCGCGATCTGCGCCAGGCGCCTACGAGTCAACAATATCCTGCTCATTCCCTCCCTCCCATCCTCGTCTCCGCCATCACTGATTGCGACGTCTTGAGAGAAATGCTTGCTCTCCATGGCGGCTTCGTTTTGCGTGTATATACAAACTGATGTAGATATAGATCTGGATACACCTTGAAAGTCGTAAGCGGAAATACGATAGAAAACTGACGCAGATGCCGTCGATCACAATACATAGCCAATTTGTACACTCTGAAGATTGGGTGGGGATGCTAGCATACAGAGACCGCTCATTGGCACACACGTCAGAAAAGTATTGCTTTTAAGGCACGTCTGTCCCACAAGGTCCTGGGATTCAATAGCCTTCGATGTTTTCATTGATCCTTGATGGCGGACTCGAGTGAGAGTTTGAGAAGTCGCAGTAGTATCCTGCTAGATATGGGTCTTTTCTTCTGCAAATATCTTACCTGGCTTGTAGGTAGTTACACATCTCACGCCTGTAGATCAGGATAAAACAGACAGTCAATCTGTCGGCCGTATTCTCCAAAATGACAGCCCGCAGTGATGCACTATCTGGACTTCCTGCGAAAATTGCAGCAAAGGGCAGTTTTTCTGAATGATGGAAAGCAGATCAGTGCCGTACATCAGTATGAATGTAATCTTAGAGCACTTTATGCAGAAGGAGGATTTCGGCCGGTCGTCGCTCACGATCATTAATTTCTGAATGCATGCTTGCGGAGATAATACTTCTGTGTGACGGATACACGACAAAGCCTTCGTGCTGTGTTCACACTGGTGTAAACTATGCATGGCAAAGGTGTCTGACGTCTGTTGACAACGTATTTATCTCCGCCCCCATCTTTCATCCCTTCCTGCCTGCAGGTTTACCGCGATGGACTTTCATTCGTCGGACTTCGTTCTCAGCATTCCACCCTCAGCCCGCGACTGGAGTGATCCCGAGGACCTGCTGTAGGATGCCAGACATGACGTGAATTTGATACAGCAGTTGGGCCAATTGCCCATCTCCTGCGTCGGCTGGTCAGAGGGCGACCAGTTAGCCATCCAGACAGCATCAGACTTGAATTTCGACGGTCAGCCGCGTTTTCATTGGCCAGTTCTGCTGGTGGCGCATTCGGCTATTTGTCCTCTGACACCAACCTCGTGTCACCTGACATTGAGATTTAATGATCTGTGTCTGTACTCCTCATACACTGCTTCTGTTAATGCTGACGAGTACTAAAATAAAAAGCGCGATAAATGCACCGAAAGATGTGCTATTTTTTCCCAAATATTGGGATGTGTCATCTGGCTGAAACGGTTGCTGAAGTGGATTTGGAAGAGGCGATGCCAGAATTCGCATTCTGCCAAGTTATCTCATTGGCTGTGGCCTGCTGATTTGCAAAGTCACCTGGATATCGTTTGAAAGCAGGACGAAATACGTTCGAGACCGTTTTGCTCAAAGCTGTGAGCTAGAGCGTCCACAGATAGTCGCACAGCAACCCACCTTCATATATCAGACCTCTTCTGATTGTCATTGGGGTGTTTCTGTTTATTAAGGGAAATACCATTGATAAGTGAGAAGGTGAAAAAGGAATTTTGTACATAACGCCGGACAGCTGCCAGCTAGCCGAAAAATAGTAATCATTAACGGTTACTTCCTAATTGCAAGTAGCACAAACGCACACGTTAGTGTCCGGTTACGTGAGTGGATGTGAGGCTGGTGATTGGGAAGCATGATAAGCGTCAAGTCTACACTTCAAAGAATTCACACAGGAGGCAACTTCAACATCGGTAGGCAGGGCATTCCACGCTGCAACTACTCTGTTACTGAAAAAGAACCTTCGTCCATTGATCCTTTCTTTCCCTGCGCGTAGTTTTAGGGGATGACCGCGCAAAGTGGGCGTGTTAGCTTGAGTAAAATAATCTGTGGGATCTAAACAATAGTCCATGCAGTTGATAATGCGAAATGTTAATATAAGGGAAACAGGTTGAGAGTTGACAGTCTGGTTTCATAGGGCAGTGCTCCCAGACCTCGTGAATGCTTGTTCTTGACTATTGAAATACTACTTTGTCGTTTAAATTCAACTGTGCCTTTGGACTTAGGCGTACATCTGTGGGTATACCAGCTAATAATAATTGGACGTGGTCTTGGCTAGGTGATGAATTAGGATATTGGAATAATGAAATAATTTTAGAAAGAGGTAGGCACATGGGAATGAAGGAGGCATTGGTGGTAGCTGTGAGAACTGAACTATGGCTAGGTCACGCGTTACCCGAAAGGGGGGAGCTGTGATGGGCAGGCTTGAGGTCGGAAGTGAGCGTTGACGCACTGGCCCATCCACGTGAGCCACGCAGGACCAGTTTGAATTCCGTTTAAAGTGGGAAACTGAGAGTTGGTGCTGACCGTGACAAGCATCGCGCTCACATCTCCAACCCGATCTCAGTGTCACACACACACACACACACGCACACGACAAGTTGAAATCCGGCAGGGACTAGAACAGGTGTAGATGATAATCCACAACTAGTTGGAAGCCAAACCCTATCAAGTGCGGCGAGGAAATTTCACATAAACCGAAGAACTATATATACATGGGGATAACAGTGGATGCGTTGTGAAACCAAGTCAGTCAGGACATATGGCGTTGATTTTTGCGGCGTATTTCCCTGTCGTGTTGGCAATCATGACGTCGAAGATTCGTCAATTCACCGTAGCAATTAGAACTTGAAAAAAGGTCATCGACGTCTTGTCGATAGTGTAGACGATAAACGTTTAAGGCTGTCAGGCGCTATTCGTACGTCAAATATTTGAGTTCAGGGACAAGCTATCTAGCACGTCCTTGCACACCACCTTCAAGATGAGCTATGCCCTCCCGAAGTAACGGACGCCAAGCCTGTACCGCATATTCCATGTGTGTCCACACAAATGTTCCCCATACCTCACCGAAGATATCCGCATCCACGTCATAGAAGTTGACGTTGTCTGCACTGCGATGTTACGCTCACATCGCCTTTACTGAATTCTTCACGCACATGTTGATCGCAACTAATTATGCGGTTACTATTCTTATCAACCTCATCTCTTCACTGATCAGGCTGATCACATCCCTGCAGATCCTATATACGCCTTCCACACACTACCAATTCCCTAACTGCACACCACCTACCAGACTCCACTGGTGATGAGGGAGATCTCGCTCCGTCGAGAGTAATCCGAGGGCCACATCAAGGCTGAGGCATGCAGTCTGACCCTAGGTCCAGAGAAGGGGGCGTGTTATGCCGCCAGTTTGCACAACGTCAAAAAACAACTGTTTGCCAGTCCTAATAATCAATGCAGTGCTCATTTTCGGTTTACAGTGAAAAAAATTAATAGACGGAGTCGACTTTGACGGAGACCGCCTCTCTTCTCCAACCCCATCTCGGTGGCTTGCTCGAGTCAGGCGGTCTGGGAATGAGGAGACTGGGTACAGTGGCTGAGATTACCTGACAGTCCTGTTTACGCTGTGGGAAACACGCGAAGCAATAAAACCAAATTCGACAACACATTCAAATATTAAAGACAAATTGGCACATGTTTGGTTGCATTTATCGCGAATTTTATTTCAACACCTATCGACCTTAACATTAACAGTGTGTAAGGAATACAGAGAATTAAATCGAGACGTCGGACAAGAGGTCGGTAGACACGGGGTTGATGTCAGCACCCATAATGTGGACATTGCCGGACAAATAACTAAATGCGTCACCAGCAGCACTGGCCAATCAAAATGCGACTAACCGTCAATATTCAACTCCGATGCTGCCCGGATGGCTGACTGAGCGCCCTCTGACCAGCCCACGCAGGAGCAGTGCATATGACCCAGCCGGCACATCAAATTCACGCCAAATCGGGCATCCTGCAGCAGGATCTGGGGATCACTCTAGTCGCGGACGGGGGAGTGCTGGAACCGTAACCAGGTGGATCAAAGCCTATCGCAGTAAACCCAAAGGGGGGGGGGTGAGGGTGGACAGACATACCAGCAGGCAGTTCTCTGGAACTTGAGCCGTGCATAGTTGACGCACTTGTGCTCATGGCCTGAGGGGGGGATGGTACTCTACCGGTTACAGGGTACTGTCATGCAGCACTATCTCCGCGACATTTGCCCCCAAGACAGACCACGCAATGGATATGCTGCATAGCCATGGGGAACTAGATCGGAGTCTGGCAGGCCTTATTGACGATGCTCACCTCATAACACATGCCGCATTTGGGGTGTGACGGCACGTCCAGTTCGTAAGAAGACACAATACCAAGCCCCACTGGAGGACACGCACTTATGTTATGACGTAGTGATAAGTGATTACAGAGACGAGGATGGCGGGAAAGAGGAGAATATTGTTGAATCCCGGGCGACTGGCGCAGATAGCGGATCCAGGTGGAAAGAACCTCATCGTAGGCACCAAACATTTGGTTGACGTGGTGATCCCTGAGGCCAATTGGAGAGGAAGGAGGTGATGCGTCGTTGCTGAAATTGCTAACGAAAGGACGCAGTAGTCGACTACAGACGAGCAGTCCTCTGCGTCCACCCAGTCGATTGGGCTTAAACATGCACTTTCTGCAATGATTCCGATAGGAGAATATGCAGTTATATTTTTAAGATGGCAAAATGCCAGCACAGATGTCTCTGCATTATCTGGTAGAGAATAAATGCGGATATGTGTGAAATTTTTTTCAGAGAGCCAAGAGGCCTCGCATTATTTAAATTTTGATGCAATATAAATATGTACATGCCCGATCTTAAGAGGACTTTGTGCTGTGGCATCCGCTCCAGTGTCCCCTCCCCCCCCCACCTTACGGCGCCGATGACCGCGACAACAGGCATTCCGCTGACGCACAGCCATCCCTCGGGCCTGTGCTGAGCCGCCTCTTTCTCACCGTCAATGGATCCCGTCTGCGCACACAGTTTCTCACTCGCTTCGAAACTCCCCGCTGGTTACCCGTGCGCGCCCTTCTCATCATGCACCTCCGACTCCGCCCCTTAACCATCCAATCACATGTCCAACTCTCACCGACACATTCCCTCATGCCGACACGGACATGTGAGGTCCACGCAAAAAACTTCACATCACGACTTCCGCTCTCCTGAGCGGACGCTTTCCTCTGACCACAAGAAAAAAAAGCCAACTTACGGCAATATGGCCTGTTTGCAGAATAAGCCAGTTCTCACTATCTCTTGACTTCTGACATTAGACAAAACTAACTTATTGTGTGTGATTAAAGTTGATGTCACAACCTTGACCCCATATATTGAGCAGGCTCGGGGACTGGTCGAAGCGCTGACTTATGCCCTCCAAAGTAAGTAAGTACAACTTTCTTCAAGTCGGCAGCTACAGGGACTCCAAGCTCAGGAATTACTTTCTAAACGGTACACCATTGCAGCAGGTTGACAGTCAGAAGTACTTGGGTGTGTGAATTACATCCACATTCTAGCCAATACGGAACTGCGCGAGGGCGGTCAATTCGGCCATGTCTATATTACAAGTCATTAGGTAAGCCTTTATAGGCTTTGAGGCGGAGAAGTTCAGAGGGCTTGCGGTCGCCCAAACCTTCCTCTTCTTCTTCTTCTCCTTCTTCTCCTTCTTCTTCTTCTTCTTCTTCTTCTTCTTCTTCTTCTGTTACGAGTACATGGTTGTGTTCACGATCAGAAAGTGGAGTGAGTCGAAGGGGCTCGGTGTAAGGAACATCAGTGGGATGGTCGCATAAGAAAGTTTAAACTTCTGAGAGAATGGTGGGTTTGTGGGGGGAGGGAAAGAACCTCAGTTAGTCTGAGTTGTCCTGGCAGAGAAAACAGTAACCCCGATGCGGAAGAAGTAGAGTTCTGGGGCCTGCTGCCTAAATTCTAGAAGGGAAACAGTGACTCCACGGAGATAAGTAGCAGCAGGTCAGCTAGGTCTGAGAGCGCAGCCCTGATTCACTCTGCTGTTCTCAGCCAATGCCTCCGAGACAGCTCCATTGTCCGTGACTCGCGCCATCATGCCATCGTTTAGCTGACACACCATCTGAGTGAATCGCTCGGGACAGACGACTTTCTGCATAATTTTCCACCGTCTGTCACGTGCATCATGTCGAAGTCTTTCATCAGATCCACGAGGGTGGAGTAGAACTAGGTCGGCATCTCGTGACGCTTTTCCTGCAGTTGACGGGCGGCGAAGATCATGTCGGTGATGGCGGAAACCAAACTCTGCCTTTTTTTGAAGGTTGGTCGTTCGTTCGAGCCAGTGTAACCTTCGTGGATGCAGGGTGGGTGGTTCGTGCGTTACAAGGACTCGAGTGCGCAGTTTGTGGTTATTCATCATCAGATAGGTCAGGAACCGTATCTGTCATGATCACACAGCCATCGCATCGTGTCTCGAAGTCGGTGATGATGATCAACTCGGATCACACGTGAACAACAAGACACCCTGAAACAATGAATTCTCAGCCATCTGGAGGCATAGTCTCCTATCAAGTTCCGAAATGTGTTAGTTATGTGTCTTACTTCCTCAGTCCCAATCGCACACCGAGCTGGTCAGGTGGGAGTGGACGCTATGACCGACAAATCTAGCCGCTTCGCCTGGACGTGCCACACACATGACTTGACCCCCCCCCCTCCCCAGACACAAGCGTCAGGATCTCACACACAAGGGGTGGGCGACATGCATTTCAAGTGTGTGTGAGAGTGTCAGAGGTCATGTCGAGAAGGAGGCATTCCAGTCTGACTCTCAGTCCACGAGTCGACCATTGAGCACAAACGCACGTTGGGCTAAATGCAAGGCCTGCGTTCCAACGGTAGTTGGCAGTCTTGCAAGTCATCACGGAGTTTAACGCATCGTGACAGTCTCAGGCTCGGATCACACATGCACCAGTGGGGCCACATGCAGAAGGAGCCGGGAAACACTTGCAGCTTTCGAGGAGAGATGTGCCAATCACGTGCCAGCGTTGTGTGGTGTCGAGTGTGGTCATGTTTAGAGTAGATGCTGGTGAGGAGAGATGTGGTAGTATGGTATGGACGGCGGTTCCTTCTGGGTTGGGCGCAAGAAATTTCGTGCGCCTGGCGGGACACAACTGAATAATAATAATAATAACAATAATAATAAAAGTAATAATAATGGCCAGGAGTTGGAGCATGCATTTTTGATAGTGGGCATTGTCAGCTAACCGCACAATGGAATGGTTGTACCCAGAGGTACGCACATGGAAATGAAGGAGGTGTTGATTGCTGTGGAAACAGAGGATTGGGACACAGCATGTGACGGGGGCTGCAGAAGCTGAATGGAAGGCAGTGGCGAGAATGGTTTCAGCGAGGCGAGGCCCAACCTTTGGATGTGCGCCGAGGTGCGTGCGTGCACACATGACCTTTGTCCGCCTACAATCCCGATCAGCAAATGACACAACGCCGATTGGTCTCAAGCTGTCTCCACGACGTGGCCATGTCACGTGCGTAGCAACTGGCAGGAGGTGTTAGTTAAGCTGACAGAAGGCGTCATGAGATAACAACCAGACTGGCGACCAGGAGAACGGAGCCCGGTGGTTAAACTTCCCGGCATGGCTGGCGTAGACGGTCCAGGTCTCCATTCCGTACAGAAGTGCTGTCAAGACGACCGCTTGTACATCTTGAGTTTGCTGAGCATTTGGCGACCGTGGCGATTCCACACGGAAGCTTACAGCCTGGCTTTGGTGGAGGAGGGAGGTGTGTGGATGTGTGATGTGACCGGCGGTTGTCTACCGCAGGTCGCCGTGGATGCGCATGTGACCGAATAGACCCATGCGATGCATGAAGGTGCGAGGACAGTGTGGGCAGTGGAGACGAGCATGGTGGGTGTAGGTTGGTGCTCCAGGCACTGGTTCGCCAGTCTCTGTGCGATGGATTCGCAGGTGACCGACCCGGCCGATGCGTGAAGTGAAGGTGCGATCGCAGTGAAGGCAGATGTAGTCCTGGCCCTCACGTCTGATGATGGAGGTTGCAGGGGTTGTGCCTGTTGTTGTGTCAGGTGCGGCTGTGGTGAAGTCGTGGGCGACAGACGCCGAGGCGGCCGTCGTTGTGGCAGTGAAGGAGGAAGAGGAGTAGGAAGGGGAGGAGTGAGGGGTAGTAAAGTCGGTGGCATCGACGGCGGTTGCGGAGAGGTTGTTGGCCGCACAAGGTGATGAACTGGGGGCGGGGCCTAGCGTTGTGGGTGTGTCAAGGCTGCGGTCAATGCCGCTCTCGTGGATGCGCATGTGGCCGAATAGACCCATGCGATGAGTGAAGCTGCGAGGACAGTGTGGGCAGTGAAGGCGAGTGCGGTGGGTGTAGGTTGGTGCTCCAGGCACTGGTTCGCCAGTCTCTGTGCGATGGATTCGCAAGTGACCGACCAGGCCGATGCGAGAGGTGAAGGTCCGGTCGCAGTGAGGGCAGGTGTAGTCCTGATCCTCATCAGCAGTTTCGGGAGAGGTGGTGTCGGTTGTTGTGTTGGGGTTGGTGATGTGTGAGACGGCAGTCTGAACGGCCGCCGCTGGGGCAGTGGGGGAGGAGGAGGAGGAGGAGGATGGAAGTGGCGGTACAGAAGAGTTAACAGTGTTAGTTGGCGGCAGAGAGGACGAGGAAGAGGCGGGCGGGGGGACGATGGCTGGAGCAGGTCGAGAGGTGCAGTTGATCCGCAGATTTTCAACAAGTCCGATTCGTGCCCGGAATGTCCGTTGACATCGAGGACACGTAGGGAGAGGTTGTGCGGCGGCGTTGCGTACTGGGCGAAGTTGTGATTTGCGGGCTTCGCGTTTCGCTTTGGCGGCGGCGATTCGGTTGGCTTCATAGATAGCAGCGCCCGTCTTCAATGTTATCCTCCATGTCGGTCGATCGCGGGCGAGATCTTCCCAGTTGGTCGGGTTGATTTGCAGGCGCTTCAGGGAGGACTTCAGGGTATCCTTGTAACGGCGAATTTGGCCTCCTTGACGACGAGAACCCGTCGCGACGTCTCCGTAGAAGAGTCGTTTGGGTAGTCGGTCGTCGTCCATGCGCAACAGGTGGCCACTCCAGCGCAGCTGCATTTGTCTCAACATGGAGTAGATGCTCAGGATTTCCGTCCGTTCCAGCACATCGGTGTCAGGGATGCGGTCCCGCCAGTTCAGCCTCAGGATGCGACGGAGACAACTGAGGTGGAAGTGGTTCAGTCGACGTGCCTGCCTCGTGAACACCGTCCATGTCTCTGCTCCGTACAGTAACGTCGGCGGGATGACGGCCTTGTACATCTTCAGCTTTGTGCTCAGTTGGAGACCGTAGCGATTCCAAACTGTGCTTTGGAGGCGTCCGAAGGCTTGACTGGCTTTCGAGATTCGGTTGGCGACTTCGATTGTAGAGATGCACGATGGTTGCGTCCTTGAAATCTTGCGGGACTTCACCTTGACGCCACATCTCCTGGAAGAGCGCAGTCAGGTGATCCATCAGTAGGGGACCTCCGTGCTTGTAGACCTCAGCAGGGATTGCGTCCGATCCGGGTGCTTTCCCGCTGGAGAGTTGCTGCACGGCCCTGATGGTTTCTTGGAGAGATGGCGGGAGGTCGAGGTCCACGTTGGTCTCCACTTGCGGCAAACGCTCGATGGCGGCGTCAGAGATGGCGGAAGGAGGTTGAGGACGCCTCGGAAATGCTCGGCCCATCGCTGTAGGATTTGCGTCTTCTCAGTCAGGAGATTGCTGCCGTCGGCGCTGAGGAGAGGAGCAGTGCCCTTCGTCGGCGGACCGTAGACAGCTTTGATCGCGGAGAAGAAGTTCTTCCCATCGTTGCGGTCCGCGTAGCCTTGGATCTCCTCAGCTTTGCGAGCAGTCCAGGCGTCCTGCATCTCGCGCAGTCGTTGCTGAAGCTGTCGGCGACTGCGGTAGAAGGCAGCTTTGTTGTCCTCAGTGGGGTGATCTACGTAGGCCTTGTGTAGGCGGTTCTTTTCGGCAAGCAGATTTCTGATGGCAGCGTCGTTGTCATCGAACCAGTCCTGGTGTTGGCGGGGAGCGCGACCGAGGACGGCGAGCGCCGTCGACTGGACCGTGTCTCGAAGTTGACACCAGCGGTTTTCCACGGAGGCGTTCTCGGCAGCGGCGGCGGCGGCGTCGTCGGCGGCGGCAGCGATAGGAAGGTTGTCTAGCCGTTGAGCTAGCTCATTGCTGAAATGGAGACGGTGAGCTGGCAAAGACAACAAAGCAACATTTAGCTTACCTGGGGGTCGCTTACCTTGTGGTCTCCTGCGAGGCTGTAGGCGAATACGCATCTTCGAGATGACGAGGCCATGGTCGGTCCACCCGTCAGCACCCGCGATCGCCTTCGTCACCAGCACGTCCCGCTGATCTCGCCTCCGGACGAGGACATAGTCCAGCAGGTGCCACTGACGCGACCGAGGATGCCTCCAGGTGGCCTTCTCTCGCTCCGGCAGACAGAAGAACGTGTTCGTCAGGATGAGGCGGTGTTCTGCGCAGGTGCGGAGGAGCAGCAGGCCGTTGTCGTTGGAGCCGCGGAGACCGTGAGGACCCAGCACTCCCCTCCAGGCAGTATGGTCTGTGCCGACGCGGGCGTTGAAGTCACCAAGGACAATCAACTTGTCCGCCTTCGACACAGTCGCCAAGAGGGCGTGCAGGTCCTCGTAGAATTTGTCTCCTGCGGCGGCGTCGGGGCTGGTCATCGGCGGAGCGTAGGCGCCGATGATGGTGGCGAATTTTCCCCCACCTCGGAGAGGCAGACGGAGCCTCATCAGGCGATCGTTGATTCCCTGCGTCAAACAGGGTAGTCGTCCCGCGATGTCGGTCCGGATGGCGAAGGCAACACCCGCGTCTCGTCGCTCTGCCTTGGGTCGACCACTCCAGAAGAAGGTGTAACCGGCACCCACCTCCTCCAGTTGGCCTTGTTCAGAGAATCGGGTCTCGCTGAGTGCGGCGATGTCCACCTTGTAGCGCGCCAGTTCTCGTGCCACTAGCGCCGTCCTCCGTTCCGGTCGGTTGCTCCTCGGATTGTCTAAAAGGGAACGAACATTCCAGGCTGCCAGAGTGAGCGGGCGCACCCTGCCAGTCTGGCCACTGCGGCGGCGAAAAGTAGGAGTAGGAGAGGAAGAAGAATAGGCTGGAAGAGGAAGAGAGTGATTGTTGTTGTTGTTGTTTCGATTTTGGCTGTTTCAACCGTGTGTCTTTTGTCTGCGGCCACGGCCAGCCTACAGACAGCGTGGTTCCCAGCGATCTTTAGGGCACCTTTTCTAGCCCCCTCCCCCTCGCGGGGGCAGGCAACGCATCCCTGAACAGGGCTGCCCGGTTATCCCAGACGGCTGCCGGACTACACTATGGGCCACGACATTTTGTTAGTGAGAGAACGACCCGAATTAGCCTGAGACCTTGGTGGTGATGGTGATGTGATGGAGTGAAGTAGGAGAGAGCATACACACTACATAACGCTATGGGACTTACAGCTAGCTAGAGTGGACAAGCGGACACAGTCATCAGTCAGAGACAGAAGTGAGAGGGCACCATTCAAGTGTCAAGCTCCGTAGCACCTAGCTATTAGCAGAGAGTGGCATAGACTGACAGACAGACAGTCGCAGCAGGCAGCGAGGGTTTCGTCTAGCTATTATCAGACCGACTAGCATACAGAGGGCAGGCAGCAAGAGCAGCATACGACACGGAACTTCAACAGACAAAAGGAAGAAACAGAGCAAATGCACTTACCTGGGGGAGAGAACTTACCTGGTGGCCTCCTGCGATGGTCCAGGCGGAGCCTCGTCTCGACGATGTCGACGCGAAGATCCATCCGTCCAGCGCAGACCACATTGCCGCGCGTGCAGGTGCACGCACGGATACCCTCACCTGGTTTAGCCCGCCGGTCGAGACGGTTGCCCGGGGTGTGGCCGCTGAGCAGAGCCCAGCTACGTGGAGCCGCAGGTGAGAGTTAGGTGCCAGCAAATGGACGCTAGGCGTAGTCTCATATGCGAGCATCACGTGAACCCACCGCTGGACACCCCTACACCCCACACACACACACACACTCTCTCTCTCACACACACACACACACGACAGTTCGACCGTCGATTTCGACAATGTCCACCGTGTGCCCCACAGCTGCAGCAGCGGTGGGAGCAGGGACGGTGACTTACGCAGGGGTTTATAGTGCCAGTAGACTTGCGTAGCATCTACCTACACTCTCTCCTCCTCCCCCGCCTGAGCCCGGTGTCAAGACAGTGTCAAGAAGACCGGAGACGAGGGAGGCCGCAGGTGGATGGCTCGGACGGATCCTCGCCTTGGCGCTCCACTCCGCACCCCCTGGTCCACACAACAATGACAAAGATTTTGACCACAAAACCATGGGGTGGTGACAGTGGTCCAGTTGTGCGACGAATGCCGACAACACGGTCCGCCAGCGCACGCCGCAATTGTTGGCATTTGTTACTGCTCACAGATAACGCCTGCCAGAGTCCGATGTGGCCCCCGTGTTAGTCCAGCGCATCTAACACGTCCAACCCCATATGGGGACCAAGTGTTTGAAAGTCAAGGAACAATCAAGTGTATTTGCATTGGTGCTTTGTTTTTAGAAAGACGAAGAAGCAGACGCCATTGCGGAAATACTAATTTCGTTAGACTGACCTCTCGAATTCACAGCATCAGATAATGATGGATGATGCAACCCTTGTGCATTCATGGTATTCTTCCTTCGGCCTTCGCCAGAACACTCATCTCTTGCACTGTGACGCTCGAAAAAAAACCCGGACGAAATATCCCAAGAATGGCGACATAGGGTTAGTCGGAGTACGTTTGCTGTGGCAAGACAGTTTCGTTTGGCCAACTCCTGAATGGAATAGACTTGATGGTGTTCACTAGCCCCTTTAGCCACAAAAATCAGGCTTCCCGCTGATGTGCCTGAAAGTCCACCCGCAGACATGGGAGGACTTCGTTCAAGGACGATAACAACAACGACTCACCATCGCCATCCTTTCCGATTGGCCACAGGGGGGACAACTTAAATCAAATATTTGGTACATACGAGGACGACGAAAAGGCTGAGCATCTGTCCAGGTTCTTTCAGTCGGTCTTTACGAGAGAAGTCGCTGTACCCACTGATCACTGTAATGTGGACACTGTCCCGACAATTGACTCAGTGGTTCTCACAAAACCTATTGTTCAACAGGAATTACTGAAGCTAAAAGAAGGGACTTCGCCCGGTCCTGACGAAATACCGGCAAAGTTGTTGAAGGAATTAGCCACAGAATTGGCAGAACCTCTGAGCGTCCTCTTCCAAGCCTCTCTTGATGCAGGCAGACTGCCTCCTGAGTGGAAGACTGCGTGGATTTCACCAATTCATAAAAATGGCAGTCGCGCTTCCGCAAACAACTACCGACCAGTAAGCCTCACCTCCATATGCTGCAAAGTTATGGAGCGAATAATCAAACGCGAACTGATGCGGTTTTTAGAGCAAAATCATCTTCTGTGCGATGCACAGCACGGTTTCCGCAGAGGGAGGTCCTGCTTAACCAATCTACTCTACTGTCTTGAACAGTGGACGCGAGCGATTGATGAAGGAAACGTTGTGCATGTGGCCTACATAGACTTCAAGAAGGCATTTGACAGCGTGCCACACCAACGTCTCCTACACAAGCTCAGCCGCATAGGGGTAAGAGGCAAGCTTTTGAAGTGGATTGAAAACTTTTTGGTCGGTCGGTCCCAGACTGTTCCTCTTGGTGGCCAGCACTCGGCAGAGGTGACGGTTACGAGCGGAGTACCTCAGGGCTCCGTTCTTGGCCCTATCCTCTTCCTCATCTATATTGATGACTGTATCCATGGATTGGACTGCAAGATTGCCATGTTTGCTGACGATATAAAGCTTTGGACCGTCATCCGCAACGAGGACGATGAAGCAAATTTACAGGCAAACTTAGACCGACTCGAAAAATGGTCAGGCCACTGGCTCCTCCCATTTAATGTTACTAAATGCAACATTCTGAGGATTCGCAGAACCAGCTCTGCGCACCGGCAGACGTATTATCTAAATCACACACCGCTGCCACTGGTAGAGGTTCAGAAAGACCTAGGGGTGTGGATAACATCTTCACTAAAGCCATCATTCCACTGCTTGAAAGCAGCAAAATCCGCAATGTCCAGCTTATATCTCATTAAGCGGGCATTTGCCAAGTTCGATGAAGAGTGCTTCCGCAAAGTCTTCGGGATATTTGTGCGCCCACAGTTAGAATTTGCCATTCAGGCCTGGAGACCCTGGACTGTTAAGGATCGTACCACCCTCGAAAAAGTCCAACGACGGGCAACCAAGCTTGTCAGAGGTCATAAAAACCTACCTTACGAAACCAGACTTTCAAATCTTAACCTCTTTCCCCTGGACTACAGACAACTCCGTGGCGACTTAATTCAAACGTTTCGAATGCTACGGGGTCAGGACTGCTGCCTCGCATCCGGCGACTTCTTTGAGCTGGCCACCACTACTAGCTTGAGAGGACACCCTCTGAAACTACGTGTGACAGGAGCGAGACTGGACGCAAGAAGGTCCTTCTTCAGCCACAGAGTGGTAAAGGCATGGAACGCCCTACCTGTGGATGTCGTCATGTCCTCATCCGTGGACTCATTTAAGAGAAAGCTTGACCAGTACAGGGATATGTACCTCCACAGCATCAGAAACTAACGAATTCCCCCCTGTGCCACCCGTCCCATCCAACGTTTTATGTTACAAAGCATGCTACTCCCTATATTTTAGTAACATTACGTTTTACAATTTTCGCTATCTCCTGACCGCCACATATGCGCTTGCTTTGATATTACTTGGTCCATTCATTGCCGTACTGGATATTGTACAATCTTGACACAGAAGGCATTCACAGACAAATTCATACCAGTGACCAATGCTTGCTGTATGTAATTACTTACCTAATTTTTTTCACACTTGCCTTACACATTGTTTTTTATGACGTTATTGTGACCAAAAGGGAGTTCAAAGGCGATCGCCTACTTTTCCCTTAATAAATCTGGTCTGGTCTGTCTGTCTGGATCCCCCACCATCTGCGCCAAGGCGTAGGGACCAGCAATTGTTTCGGCGTGCCGAGCACCAGTTGTCGAGGCTGATGGCCCCCACGCAAGTGCCTCGAGTGCGCCCATGCGCGTGTGCGTGCGTGTGTGAATGACCTTTGTCCGCCAGCAATCGATCAGCACGTGACCGTGTCACGTCGGTTGGCGCGTGGGGCTGTCGCCAAGTCAGGGCCAAGTCATGTGCGTCGCACGCATTCGGCTAACATGAGGTTTTAGTCTGAGCGAAGTCCTTTTATTTGCTCAATGAATTTTAGTGAACGCTGAAATTCATGTTTGATGCTGTATGGAATCTAGCTTGATGAAGAGACGGCAGGCGCAGGGTTCGTTTCTACTGTCAGTTTCGTTTCCTCAAGGAGGCAGCTAGTGACGAGCAGACTGAGTGAAAAGTACTCAAAAGAGATTGGGTGCAAACAGATGCTCATTTGCGTCTAGGTTAAACAGTTCTACTTAGAAATGGAAAAGCTCGACTTATCAGGCAAATACTATTGTGGCACAAAAGACATTTATTCGTTTTCACAAATAATTCGACCATCGCTTCTATTCAGTCTGAAGCACGCGCCTCATGCTCCATTAATTTCTCCTTATGAAACGAATCGTATATGCAGACATGTAAAACCTGTCGGACAAAGGGCTTTGGCGACCAGGCATGCTGGTTATGTAGGACGCCTTTCGGCCATACAGCTGTGGAAGCATTTCACGTGAATCGCAATTGGCGTTGCCAAAGTTAGCATTGAATTCCTAGAACTTCCGTTGCTTCAACAGTGATGAGGGTGTACTCGTGCGCATGCTCAGCAGTGACCAGCAAGATGCCTTCTGATATGCAGGGAGGTTGACGCCAAAGGCACTGTCGACGATAGGCACTACATTTCAGACCAAATCTGTACTTTTGAGAGTTGGGACACGGGAATAGGCACACCCCTACCCCTCCCCCTTCCCCACGCCCTCATCCACGTTGCAGAAGGCAAAGTGCTAGTTTCAGAGAGGATACCGATTCCCCTGTTCTAAGTCTACCTCCTCTTGGAATCTAGCTCAATCGCAATCGTAATACTGGCGTTGACCAATTCCCTTGCCCTAATCCTGACGCCTGGCGTACAGTGAGAATCACTCCCATCCCTAAAAAAACCGCTAATTTTGGTCCCTACTCTTTTCGTCCAGTTGCCGGCTCTTCCGCAATACTAAAGTTCGCTGAAATAGTTGCCCTAGATATAATACGGCCATACGCTTCCAGATTTTCCGATCCGCTACAATTTGTATATAAAGCCAAACGCAGCACTGTGGATGCTGTTGCTCTTGTGGTCCACTCTGCCCTAAGAGAATTAGGTAAGGGTTGCTTTTCCTGACTACTCCTCCGTTTTCACTACCGTCCCGCGCCCTCTCTTTTTTAACAAAACATCGCGTGCGGCTCTCTAGGCTGGGTCGTCTCTTGGCTTAGCCATTATTTCACTTCCCACACTCCATTTGTCCAATCTGACAAGCGGGAATCTACGGTCCTTCCCAATGACTGAGGAGTTCTTCGAGGTCCCATTCCATCCACTCACCTTTACTCCCTCCACACCGATGATCTAAGACTCCCTTACGACTCTAAGCAGGCTGATGATGTTGCTGTTCGACACCCTCTTAAAAACTGGCCACATCTCCAATCTCTGGAGGATGGCCTTGACTATGTCCTAGTATTGTCGGAGGAAAATGGTCTCTTAATGAACAACCAAAAATCAGTCCAGTGTATTTTCCAACTGCAGCCATCTCCTAGTCCTGACTCCCTTAACATCCTTCCTAACGAGGCGACCTCTTTCAGGTGCCTTGGCGTTAGTTTGTCATGAAATCTTTCATTTTCCTTCCATATTGAGACCCTATTTACTAAAATTCGTCGTTTACGTTCCTACCACACACCTCAACCCGTAATATGGCGATTCATGGATGCCTGCATCCTGCCTCTTATTCTTTATGGCTCTCCAGTCATTTTTCCAGCTTTGCTTAAAAAAATATATGTTAATTTTAAAACGAGTCCACCGAATGCTCTCTACTGTCGCCAGTGTTTCTTATGTCTTTTTAGTCGATACTATCATACGACGACATTTTAAAACGGTCAAGCAATTTGCTGGTCTAATTCTGGATGGCGCAG